TTTTTTTTTTTTTTTTTTTTTTTTGTGAAAGTGTGAAGAAGATTCACTTCTGTTTGTCGATTGATTTTTTTTTATTGATATTGAGAAATTGTTCGATGCAATTAATAATCTGTAAAATTGATCAACGTTACAATCGAAAAAAGGATATTAATTAACATACTAGCGATGCTTGATGCAACTCGCTCGACCATTTGATGAAATCAATATCGGATTATCGTGGAAATTCCAATGAAAGTCGCGAGAGATTAAATGACTCTCCCTAAAAATTCCTCGATATTCGTTCGAGCTTCGGTTCGAATTCCTCTCTGCCCAAAATTGGATGTGATTTTTTATATACCTTTTACTTACTTACTTTATTTCATCATTAAGAAAAATCGTTGTCAGATAAATAAAACGGTTATATCGTAATTTTATATTTTAAGAAAAAAAAAAGAAAGGGGTATATAATTTTTCCGTGTATATAATTTAAAGAAAAATATAGGGCAACGATTTTTCCATAACATAAAATGTTGTCGTGTAATATTCATCGTGAATGAATCGTTTCGAAGAAAGGCATTTTATTTCGTTTCAATTGAAGCTATTGATAACGTGTCGGATATAATAAAATTCATCGATTTCTCTACATAAACCCCAATGAGGGAAAGCTTAATCTAAATCGAAAAAGTGGATTCTATTGTAACAAAGAGGATTCATTCCCTTTGTCGTATTACACATAAACAAAATTGAACGTGAAAAGCAAAGAGAAAATTAATAGAAATATTACAAATGGTCTTTCATGAACCGACCATAAAATCACTGAGTGACTCGAAATAATGCTTTTTAAATCACTTCGAAACTATACATATTTTAATTCACGGCCACTCGTTGTTAAGTCCATGCATACACATTTATAAATAATTAAGCATCAGATATACATCATCTTTGTAGCGTTTAAACTTTTATTCCCTCGATTATCCAAATATAAAGATCCGAAATCGTAGAATTTAATTAAAATAAATCGTCCTTTTCAATCAATAATATCGCAATATCTTTCAACGCCGAGTTCAACTTCCTAGTTTCAATAATTTCAAAATGTATTAAATTTACAATACGATTCCGTATCAAACACATCAATTAACTATTCAACTTAAAAACCGTTTGATACAATTTTAAACGTACAAAGAACAACAATACTCGACTTACATAGTACTTTCCCCATGTAATTAATAAAATCTCTAAAGAAGAAATGGAAAAATATTCATCAAACTTGATCAAACTTCGTCAAACGTCTTCAAACCGATCCAAAAACATCCCTAATCACAAAATCTCTTTCACATCCCCATCTCTAATCCCTTCAAACCGCGATCCAACGATTCCAAACGCGAAGCAACCCGATCAAACCCGATCAAACCGCGTGAAGAACCGTGGAGAAAGAATCGGAAACCCTTCTCCCCCTCCTTCCAGCGTGCTCATATGCCGGAAAACAATTATTTTCGAATCAACGCGGCCTCCAACGAGGGCGAGATCGATTCGAGGTTAATCGAGCACATAATTCAGGGGCGACGCTGCGTGTTTGCACGCGGCAAATCCGGAATCCGCACGCGAGCAGGTGCGACGCAATAAGCGGCCGTGCTTGCGGCCATTTCCAACCCCGTATTCCCTTCTTTCCAAACCGTCCTTTCTCCGATCCCCTGACCAATGAACCCGCGAACTCTCCCCTCTCTCTCTTTCTCTTTCTCTCTCTCCATGATAAATTCCAGAACGTTTGTTGTTCCTTGAAACTGGATGGAATTTATGGTGGCGAGATATTAATCGATTTCGGGGATATCGACAACGTGGAAAGCTTGGAACTCTTTCGAGGGATTTCGAAATGCGATGTATCAGAAAATTTGTTAGAAATCTTTTTTCTTTTTTTTTCAGAATTTGGAGTTTGGGAAAGGAAATTTTGAGTAAAATTTAATTGATAGGGTTTGCGAAACGAAATAGTTTTGCGGGGGGGAATTATTTTTCAAACTTTTCACGGGTGTAAATTTTGTTGCTTCTGCTTTTTATCTTTTTTTTTCCGATTTATAATTTGATAAACGCGAAATAATCCGTGATCATTTCTGGCGCGACAGGTCACGCGTAACGTGATTTTTAAAGGGCAGAAACATCGGCTGTAATTCGAAGCTATACCCTCGGCAAAATTACGGGCGAAGCTAATTTCGTTTTTCGTTACTTTTGACGTTGAGAAATTTGCGTTAATTTCGTGAGCAAGGTAATTCGTGTAATATCCACGAATTATTTATCTCGGAGATATTTCTAAAAGTGAACGTTTGAACGATTCTTTTATTTAATACACGACGATAAGTTTATTGGACGATGCAAAAATCAATGGATAAAGTTAGTCTCGTTGACACGAATATTTGTCTCGCGATAAATTTGATAACACATTGCAGCTTAATACATAGCGTACCGATAAATCATGGCCAGTTCAGTATATAGTCAATAAATATCGAATCATTAACAATTCCAGTGGCAAGAGCTTTCCAACCTTGAATCAT